GCCCCCGCCCCCGGACCCCGCGAGCCCGAGGTCTCCTGTCGAACGTCTAGAACTTCGGGGGCGTGCTTGGCGACTGACGCTCTGCTTGTGCAGCCCGCAAACGTTACGGGACGGACACCCCACTTTCCCCTCCCACGGCTCACGAACTCCTCAGGAGGGGATTCGTGGAGCTTGGAGGTGGGGTATGGGACAAATTTAGAGGGTCGAGGCTGAAGAAAGCACAATAAACACGCGATATAGTATTCAAGCAGGAAACATTGCTTATTATTTTTAAAATGGAAACATCCTAACCTATATTCTCAAATACAGTGATTATGGAGACTCAGACTTGACAAGGAACATGGAGATGCAGAATGACAATCTTTAAAAAAAAAATGCTTTGATGAGCTGCTTTCGATGAGCACCTTTTCTTGCAAATACTGCCTCGTGCAACAAGACCGTGCGCGACAGATTCTTTTTCAGGAATTCTAGTTAGAATTTACAAAACACCTTTTTTAAAAAAAAAGGAAAAATTAAGTAAAGCAACAAAACATCCTATTTGGGAGAAAGGAATATACCTGGGGGGAAAACGAGAATGGAAAGAAAGAAGGGAGGAAAAGAGGAATGAAAGAGGAAAAAAGGGAAGGAGGAAGGAGGGAAAGAACCTGTTTTCTTTCTAACAACTGAGATGCAAGAGAGCACCGCAGCCAGAGGGCCTAAATCCTCGAAGATGAGGGGTAGAAATGATTTCAACATAAAAACTTGCCCTGGGGGCGCCTGGATGGCTCAGCGGGTTAAGCGGCTGCCTTCAGTTCAGGTCTTGATCCCAGGATCCTGGGATCGAGCCCCGCGTCGGGCTCCCTGCTCCGCGGGAAACTTGCTTCTCCCTCTCCCACTCCCCCCTGCTTGTGCTCTCTCTCTCTGGCAAATAAATAAATAAAATCTTAAAAAAAGAATCCGTCTAGTCACTGCTCCAAGAATGGATTGCCAAGGACCAAAATGGTTGCAGAGAGAACCAGATGCTGGTTACTGAAATACTTCAAGTGGAAGAGAGGCAGAGCCTGTGAAGACGAGGACAACACAAAGAAAACAGGGAGAGGAAAACTGGAGGAGAGTAAAGGGCAAGACCATCACCAGATTTTATAAGAACTACAGAGATTATTGCCTCTCTAGGGCTTGATCCCATGACCTGAGCTGAAGGCAGACGGATTGCGCCACCCAGGCGCCCCTCTGACCCGTCTTTTCTTAATGAAGTCTGGCAGTTCCAGATAATGTTTATGATATCTCTCAATTTTTAAAAATGTGTGTACATTTGGAACATGTTGTGATTTATTTTCCTTTTCTAAATAAATATTCACATTGCTACCTAATTTTGCATTTATATTTTTGAGTTCTTTTTCTTAAAAGGAGTGCACCAAATTGTGGCAGGGATCATAAGCAGCATGGAGATAATAAGGACTTGAGAAGGAAGTGCCATCCAAAGACTGGGCATAATACATTAATATCATTGTTTCTGCCTTAAACAGTGCCCGAGTATCTCTTTCAACTGAGAATCAGGTCCATTTTCTTGATTATAAAGGCTCACTTACCAGGGCAGTGAAAGGCAAGGGAGGGAAGATAGGCCACTGTTGGTACTTAAAATATGAAAAATGACCATTTTTGTGAAGTAAGGCTTTGAAACAGGTCCAGCGGACTGATCTGCAAGTCCAGTCTCACAGGCTATCTGATCCATGAAAGTAGAAGACTTTCATGGCATTTTTGCCAAAACATCTACCTCAGTCACCTAAACAAATACCTGAAATTTCACCATTAAAACATTCTTTTGAATCTTGATGCATTTCTGGAAGTTTAACACTACTTATTACAATAGAAATCCCTTGGGGCAAATTTACAGTTTGTTTCATATTAACACTTTTTGTGAGATGACCATGTCAATGCCTACCACAGTGTCTGAGTTGCCCCTTCTCTCTCCTATGTGAGAACTGGTTAGCACCCACAGGACTAGGACCCAAGCTGGTTTTCTGTGTCGGGGGGATGTGGGCATGTTCTGGTTGTGTAGGGTGTGTCTTAGGGAGAGAATCCAAAGATAGCCGTCCTCCTTTGATGTTTTGCCAAACTCCAAACATGGAATATGCTAGAATATAAATGTTACAGTTGGAAATTTAGAGGCAGACCGAAGAATCAACTTCAAGTCACCTAAAATATGAATGTGGGAGAAATTATATTAGAATTCAGAGATTCTAATTAGCTTTTAATTAATGGGGTTTCCTCTTCAGTCTTGGAGGGTGTTGTTTAGTTTCTATTGAGGTGATTCTTAACAGAATTTGTTTAGATTCTATTAAAGTGAAGAGGTGTTCAAAAGTGTCTAACTTATCACAATATTGTGTGCCTTCCCTGGATGGTAACATTAAGGGATTCTTGTACGAACTTGGGTGTAAGTTAGTTTACTGTCCCTAGATTTATTGAGGCAATATTTCTTTTTTTTTAAAGATAAATTTATTTATTTGAGAGAGCGAGAATGAGAGAGAGTACATGAGAGGGGGGAGGGTCAGAGGGAGAAGCAGGCTCCCCGCTGAGCAGGGAGCCCGATGTGG